GAATACTCATTAGACGAAGTAAACTGAAGCAGTGTGATCCCGCCGCCAAGAATACAGAGAGCAACGACGCAAAAAGGAAGCAAAAAACATTTCAGGAACCTGAGATTGGGGAGCCGTAGACTCGGTTAAAGAAAATTTTACAAATATGCACATCAGGGGAAAGATTGGATTTTCCTAATACCCAGTCTGGGTGTTGCCTGGTCAGCCCACAGAGAAGGCTGATGATGAAACGTTCTCTTGGCAAAAGGCTCGCTGGGATATAAACAGTTTCTTGGGTCTGCTGTGGGTGACAGCCCACAGCATTGTCTGGCATGCAAATTCGCAGCGAGCGGTTCACGTTGCGCACCATTTGAACTTGCTTCATAATCATATAAAAGCAGCTGCCATCAATGTCGCACTGTCTCTCAGGCATGATTGGACGAAGTCAACACCAGCCCTAGCTTTGTTGGTGACCACTACTGCCTGGGACAGCAACTGATTCCTTGCACAAGTGCCATCTATGCTTTTCCAAGAACTTAGATCCGGCCTGATGATTGTAGTGCGCACACTGCTTACATGCTACGTAATAAGCAGAAGCAATATCTCCAGGTCTATTTGAGTGCCAGTCTGTCTAATCGGCTAACTAGCAAAAAGCCACAGTGGTATTACATAGCGCATGTCCCTCACCATACAATGAGGCGGGGCGAAACAGAGCACCCTCATATTGCCGCAAATCTCGTTGGCCAGCCACGAATTATACAGCTAGCCGGAATGAAAGGAGTTAACAGGCTTGGCTACAGTAACAGCAGATGCGGATCAGACCACCGTTTAAAAAAAACAGTGTGTGTATAGAGACTAACCCGCAGAGCTCGGGGATTGGTCAGCATATTGCGGAATCCGGGCTGATTCATCTGGCGCGCCAGCTGGGGAATCATGCGTTGCATCTGACTCCGGGTGTTGGGATCGGCGCTGGCGAAAAAGGGGTTGTTGCTCATCAACAGTTCCAGAGTCTCGGGATTTGAACTCATGGCCTCCAACAAACCCTGTACGTAGGGAGCCTAGAAGGGGGAAGAAGACGAAAAAGGGGTGAGCGGCGCCTAAAAGCAACATGTTATCTCGGAATGGTGTTGTAGAGCACCCACTCTTAAATTATAGCAGGAACCAAGAGCAAAGGTCCTAGGTCCATTTTAACCATTTCTGACGGACTTGTAAGGCAGCGTTTAGCCAGCAGAAAACGCTGAGGAAATAGTGGTCGA